TAAAATATAAATATCGAAATAATAAAATAATACTAAGATAAAATAATAAACTAATAAAATAAAACTGTTCTATAACAATGCATTATCTGGTATATCTAAATTTAAATAGATTATTAAAAATATATAAATAATAAAAAAAGCTTATATAAAAAATATAATATATTAAAATTTAGAAAATTAGAATATTTAAAAAACAACCAAAAATTGACAACTCTCCCTGACGATCACTTGTACCAAACTTACAGCAAACGAAAACAGAAACTTGTTCAGAAGAAAGCGATGATGAAGATACAAGATGTGGTAAGCGAAGAAAGCTGCAAAAACTCAGAAAAGTAAGTATATTAACAAAGTTAATTTATAATTATACAATTATATAAAATTTTCTATAAATATAATATTCTTTAGAGAACTAAAAGAACTAGATCTAGCAGTAGTGCAGGAATACATACACCTTCTTCTAGAGGTAGTTTTAACCCTAATTCAGGTTTTACTGAAGACCCTAATCTGTGTTTTACTAAAGACCCTAATCCAAATTTACTGAAGACCCTAATACGGAACCGGTACCATCAACAAGTTATTTATCATCTGGTTCCAATAGAGAAAATGCACCTAAGCCTGGTACACAAGAGGATCTTGCATCTAATCCTGGTACACAGAGCGAACCAGTTCCAAATTCTGATTCACAAGGAGAACATTCTCCTAATCCTGATAAACAAGGAGAACTTGCACTTAATCCTGGTTCACCTGAGGGATCTTCAAATGATCAAACCCCAGTTCCAAGTTCCTTAGAAGAACTCTAAAAATCATACTAAAAATAAAGAAATTAATTATTTAAGATAGATTTTATTTTTTATTTTTGTATTTTTTTTAATTTTAATAACCTATTTTATAAAAATCTATAATTATTTATAATAAATTTCTGAATAATAATAAATTTTGATACTTAATTAAAATATTTTCAAAAAAATTTGCAATACTTTAAATAATTTTGAAAACTATGAATTCATTAATAAGAACAATCTATAATGCATGTTAATAGCTTTTTGTATAAATTATTAAATTTTATATATTTTAATTTTAATAAATATAGTCGCATATTGTCGAATTATATATATATATATATTTTTTTTTTCCATTTAGGCCATCTTGCCTTTAGTCTCCTTTATTACTTTATGATTGTATAGTATTACAAAAGGCCTTAGCATAATAGTCAGGAGTGGCATTCTGCAGTTACTTCAAGAGCACTTACAAGCGATCGGCCACACTGAGCCAATACATCTCTATGAATATATCATGATAAGTTTCAAAATAGAAACACTATCTTTCTCAGACAAACACTATCAGACCACCGCTCTATAATAGAATATCGCCAATCTGATAACATCTTCTTGTAGGGAAGTGGAAAGAAAAAAAAATTTTTACTAATACTAATACTAATACTAAAGGGAGATACTAAAAAAAACAGAAACTAAAACTAAAAAACAAATACAAAGACAAAAGGGTGAAGAAAAAGAAAAGAAGATCTGATAGGTCACAGTTATAGGCTTGTGTCAAGCCTTAAAAATTATATATTAATAGGTAAAGAAGCTCTGTATCTAACTCTATCCTAATAATATATGTATAAAAAAAAAAAAAACATAAAAAAAAAGACAGCTAAATAAAACAGAGTAGTCTGAAATATAAAAGTCTCGAAGTATTGTCCAATGGTTTTTCCGGTTGAAGCATGTATACCATTTGTGTTGTCATATAGTACATACATAGTTGCTTAATCCGGACGTCTGCCCGTTATCCTGTTATGAAAGTCCTATCTATTTCTAGACAGGTAAACAATACCAACTTGTTTTAGAAAATTACGTGTCAATCTTTTGGAGGGGGTAAGCTAAAACGCCCACT